TCCGGGAGGAGCCTTCATTTAAAGATGGAAACATTATTGCTGTTGCATATCTGCCTTTTGTGCTGTTTTGACGAGGCTAGCGGACTCTTCCGTAACCAAAGTGTTTGTTGCACATTTTTTCAGTAACTAACATACACTGTGCAATGACACTTGTTTGAATAGTCACCAGACTTATCAGAGAAAAGTACACATAGATGCAGTTGTATATAATGCATTGTGTCGCAGAAACAGCAATATTTCATTGTGCACTACATGTTTTTTTTAAGCCACTGGATTAATGCTGATCTGTATATTGATTCTCAGTCGCCTCCAATTTTTTTTCTGACTATTACAGACTGTATCCCATCGGAACAGAAATTTCAAGAATTATTGTCAAGGATTTGGTTCTTTCTGGTTACCACGTGCCTGCAGACGTAAGCATATCTTGAATGTTTTGGTGTTTAAAGGAAATAAGTATTTAAATTAAGGTATTATAGTGTCAGATTCAAAAATGTAAAATTCTGTTCCAGACTCATGTTAATTTAAATCCACATGTACACTTTAAATCAGAAGAATACTTCCCAAAAGCTTTGGAATTTTTGCCTGAACGTTGGCTACGAGGAGGGGAATCCAATGACATTCATCCGTATCTACTTACACCCTTCGGTCACGGTGTACGGACATGTGCAGGTAGTATATTAATGCTACATAACTAGTGCCAACTAATCAATACATCATTTCCTCAGCGCACTGTTACTGAAATGTCAGTATTACGTTAAACATTATTCCCTTACATAATGCTTTGTGAAATCTTATATGAATACATAATTGTCAGAAGTCAGAGGCAAATAAATTGTAATTCAATAGGCAATGTGTGAAAAATGTTAATACGGTACAAGGGAATAATTACCAAGACTATTAATCAGACAAATCTATCGCTAGATGTTACTAAATGCATCTTATATAACTATCAAAATGTCCTCCATGGTTTTAAATTCACAGCCTTTCTCATTTCAAACAAGAGTTTATTGCCCATGGGGTCACTGGGAACAAACTTTGAAAAATTGGCATTTTCTTATGCATGGTGTCACAAGTCGTAGAAATTGTAATTCAAAATATATCCAGTGATTATCGTTTCAATTGTAACCTTTAGAAATTTATGATATTTACTTTGAACTACTTTATCTGCAAAGTGGATAACAAGTATTGAAGAGATAAAAGAATATTTCAGGAGACTGATCCAAACAACTAATAATATATCAAATCCTGTATTTTCTTTTTCAGGGATGCGTTTTGCTGAACAGGATCTTTATGTTGCACTATGCTGCATTCTTCTTAACTTCAAGCTGCAGTACCCAGTTAAGGATCCTCTGGAACAAATCTACTCCACTCTGCTCTTCCCTGATGGTGCAGTGAGAATTCAGTTTATTTCCAGGAATTGAACATAGAAAACAGTAATGATTAGCGCTTCAAATAGATACAACAGACCAGTAAATATCATGCTTGTATAAAATTCATTTCCTTTCTGCAGAATTGACACTCGTTTTCAAATTGCAGTTTCCAGGAAACCTCAACATTTTTAAATTTGTAACTTGTACCGGCACAAATCTATTTACAATAATTCTTAGTGTATCTAACCTTTCCTATTATATCGCCTTATTTCCGTCATGTCTGATTGTGAAGCCTAAAATTGAGGAAACGGAGAGAGACGGGTCACCTCAACCAAGTTTTATAAAGGATTAATCATGGATTTAGTGTTAGCGATGGGAAGATTGTGCGCTTATGGATCATTATAATGACTGTCGGGATTTAGAATTCTTAGACGTAGACAGTTACGCTTGAATGATATGTATGGTATATTGGGTGATATTGTATGTACATTTAGTGAATTTACTAAAATTTTGGAACACTGTAAAATATTATCAAAAAGTTCAAATATATTATATTATCTTTACGAGATATAATAACTTTTAAAATCTCCATGTTCTGTTCACAATGTATCAGGTTCAAAGAATTTCAAAGGTTAAGTGATAGCGTAGTTGAATTTTCTTACCAATTTTCTTGGAACCAAACAATTCATCAAATAATGTAATTTTATTTTTATTTCTTTAAGAGATTATAAATACAAAGGTAGTAAACCATTGTTTAAAAATATAATAAAGCTGTACACTAAAAGCGACCCTGAGGAGGTCCCCAACCAATTCAAGGTAAAGGTGAAGTTACAGTAGAGTTAAGACTTTACAATATACACATTTATAATACACAGACTTAAAGCTTTCACACTACTAGTAGTTATTTACACATCCACAGATATTTCAAGCAATGTATTAAAAAGCTCACTTTCAATACCTATATCCAGCGCACACTTCTGAATACTAGTTGAATCATGTTTTAACAGGTACAATACATGACTAATATTTAGTAAATTTTAATTTCATGGTGACATTACACGCATCACTGGTAACTGGACTACCCTCTATACTGCACCAAAGATGCACTATCACAAAAATATTTCACGTGAGAAACCAGGTTGAGGAATATAATAAATTTAAAAGGTCTTATCCAATACGTACTAGAGTTTTTAAAATCTTGCAAAAAACATTTGTGACTACAAAGAATTTCTGAAATGTGTATAATTATTCTGTTGTATTTTATCCATTATCTAAGTATTTTTCGATTAAAACCTTCATTGTACTTCCACCCACCTGAAGATAAATCACAACCAACCTCTGAAAAATTTGGTTTTAATTACGACCAACACAATAATTATACATACTATCAACCATTATCAGAAACCTTTAAATTTTCACGATGTTCAAAGTATATTTTGCAGCTGTACAGCGATATGTAGCGTATGCAGTAACCTTTATCACATGGGAATTGGGGATTGAAGCACCTGTACAAAGGGGCAGCTGGATGGACTTAGATGTTTAATGGTTTACAAGTATGCCAGTGTGATGCAAGGCCAGAGGTTAATTAAGGTCACTAGAGCCACCATATCTTGGATATTCTGTCAATCAAAGTCCTCCATTTAAGTAAAGCTTTTGCATTAAAAGAAATACTGTTTGAATCATGCTTTTGTGGAACAGTATCCATATTTTCCAATTTTAAAATATCACATGTAATATACACTCCAAACTCCAGTAAACACAAAATTCATACATATACAATATATATTGCTAATGGAATGCTGAAGGAAGACTGTGATGTTTATGTAAGAAAAATCAACCTGATCTCACATTAACTTCGTCACCTGTTGTTAAAACAATCACACGCAGTGATGTGCTATGAATTAATTTACAATCATGTACAAAATATGTAATGTATCTGCTCATATAAAAACAGTTTAAACTACCGCCAATATAGCACCAGAATATTATTAGACGCAGTCCACATAATTAAGGAGAATGTTTGAAATGTTTTAAAACTCATACCCGTGTAAAGTCTGATGTATTACCATGTCTAATGTTTACTGCTGTGCACTCTTTCAAAAGTAATCAAACTAGAATATTACAAAAAGTCAAAAACCACACAGAATCCTACATAATAAACTGTGTAGCTTATTTATCTTATCTAGATCTGTCTTGCTAGTTAGCATTATTATGTTAATTAGGTTACAATAAATTCCTCTCACATTTAAAGTGTCATCAGCTGGTGCATATTAATAACCAGTACATTGTCAACCTGAAAGAGTAACATCAAAAATAAACATTTCAGGGGACAAAGACAGGTAGAACTGCAACCATAATAAAACTGAGCACGCCACACATTTCACCAAATTATAACTAACAGTAACAGACCCCATGTTCAAACAATAATTATTTATCTTTAATAAATAATGCGTTGAACTAACCATTCCAAAATCAGTCTTAATTTTCCACACATAACCGTGTATGTGTCCTTACAGACCGAGTTTTCAGTCAAACGTTGTTTGACTTCTTCAGTAGAGTTTCTGAAGTTCCCCAATTTAAGCTCAAATGCAAAATTCATGAAACCATCTCAAATCAAAATGAAACGAAGTCTCCAGCTACACATGTATAACATTATGAAGGACAGCAAATCATCTTCTCTAGCCCTACTACCAAATTTAATTCCGCTTGCAGATATAGATGGTAACTCATTTGGATAGGTACAACTAGCACATTTCTTTGAAATACAGATGATTAAAAAACTCAGACTTTCAGCTCCCTCTGCCGATGTCCCTCATTACAGCCTTTGAGGAAAATACATAATCACTTAATTATTTTAAAGATAAGTTTCTCACTGCTATTGTTAGAATATAAAGGGCACACATGCCTTAGTCATCGAAGGTCAATTGATTGAATATAAAACATTCACAATACTGGCACTGAATTAAAGCAGTGCAAATATTTTGTCAGTGATAAAAATATATTCTATGTATTACAATTACATACAGGTCACTCATTAAAATTTTCATATAATATCTAAAATAATAAAAGCCAAATGCCAGAAATCTATGAGGACGACTATCATTTCAGAGCGGCAAGTTTTGCCACGTCATATGAAAGTTAAACCTTTGATTTAACACAACAGTTATATATTTGTTTTGACACTTTCCAAATTATGCGAACAATAATTTGGCCCATTTCATACAACTTCACAAGCTGGAATAAATGATTTTATAATATGGAGGTTGACCATCAATTTATAGTCCAAGTGTACAACACAGTAACTTTAAAATGTCAGTCACTCCACATGACCTCTTGAGTTTTTTCAGCAACTGTCAACATTTTTACCAGTGATGGACAGATGAGCCCTCACGTCAACTCCAAATGTAGAGGATCACTACCTAGCCTCTCCTGTTTGACTTGTCTGGAATGCGTGGCCTTACCAGACAAGTTTCCTCATCACTTCAAGGCAGTAGTCTATCGGGAAATATTATTACTTATTTGAAAAATCTTGATCTCAATTTCAACACTGATCTTTCAATCTCCAACTTTGAGGATTTCAATATGGCTGCTGGTTCCACCCCCCCCCCCCCCCCCCTTTCCTCATCACTTCAAGGCAGTAGTCTATCGGGAAATATTATTACTTATTTGAAAAATCTTGATCTCAATTTCAACACTGATCTTTCAATCTCCAACTTTGAGGATTTCAATATGGCTTCTGGTTCCACCCCCCCCCCCATTATCATACAAACTAACCAACCAGAACTGTAACAGCAGCATTAGCACAAATCAGCTTGTTAGAAAGATCTTCCCAAGATGTAATGTAAGTACTTGCGCTGGCCTGTGACTGAAGCCTTGCTAGAGTCAAGATGCAATAAAAACATTCTGTTTTTAACATTGAAAATACAGTGGTTATATCCTCATAACGAGGGATTTCTGGAAATGGGTAGATTTAAACTTCCAGAACCTTCAAAGCCCTTGCAAAAATTTATTAGTCATCTCAGAAACACCCCACGTATCATGAAATGTATATAAAATTAATAAAAAAATAAATCATATATCGGAGAGTGTCAAAACAAAATAACTGTTAAAGAATAATATTTTTAATGTGAGTAACAGTTAAGAAGAAGACCGGTCACGTTTCAATACTTGTACAATGTAAAATCACAGGTCTGCCGCTTGTTACAGCTGAGTATAACGAGGCTGAGACAAGTTAAGAGGAGTGCCTGCATTTTCAATACCATGCTCCCCTTCTGTCTTTGCCAATGCCATGAGTGCCATTGCACCCATCCACTTCAAATTATCCTCAGGAGGAAAACTGTTTTCTGTCCCTGAAGACCAGGACACATTCTTGTCATCCAGACAGTATTCTTCAGATACCTCTGAATCTGCCTCCTTGTAAGCCAGCATCAGAACTGTTGGCCTCGTCAAATTGGCATCCTTCTCGGTCGGATTTGATGAAACATCAACAGGATTCAGCAATGTGTACGATACAGACTCCAAACTTCTGCAGCCAGCATCATCTTTGTCATTCCATTGCAAGGGATGAGCTAGTGCCTGCTTTTCACCCCAGAGTGACTGATCTTGGCAAGCTTCACGTAGCCACCGTTTCTTTGGTTGCTCTTGACGGTACACGTCCTGCTTCTTGTGCTTTGACGTGTCATTTGAATCGGTGTCAGACGTCCTATGGGGCGAGCACTGCTCTTGCTTTGAATTGCCAACTATACCATTATTGGACTGCTGCCAACTCTTAACAGTGTGCGCAGACTGAGTTTTTCTAGGGGACTTACGAACATTTTCTTGCTGCTCCATTTCATTTACCAAACCCTTTCGAATCTTAGACTTCTTCATCGGTGCTGGAGGTGCAGCGTCATTCTCCAATTCGCTCTTCCTGCTTTTTGTTTTCCTGTCAAGTTTCTTTGACGGGGTTCTCTCTTCTCGTTCCTTCTTATACCTAAAAATAGCGCAACACAAAAACTTATACATTTATTAAAACAAAGAGGGACAGAAAGATGAATCTGTTACATCTAAGGTTATGTACCTCTCCAGCCAACGAAGTACATCACTAGACTGTTCTGGATTGGAGGCAACAGGACGCAAAACAAAGTCATCACTACGCTGAAGAGTTGCCAGTGGATGGTCAGGACAGTGCCTATTGGCGTGTGTGAAACGCATGTTGCACCTGTAGAACCAAATAACACTCATATCAACGATGCAAGATACTTAATTATCTTTTGATCTTGCACACAGTGTACAATATTGATCCTCTGTGGCCTGCAGTGTTCCATTGACACTGGAATTAAAAAAAAAATAGGCTGTACCCTACTGGATGGCAAAAAAGACTTCACAACAAATCTGTAAAATAAGAAGTCTAAAGCAAACAAAGAGTGAAATGTAGATCCTTGCTGATTAACTTATTTGTTGTGTGGGAATTTTATATCACACATGGTCATAAGATCAATTACACAAGTATGAATCTAATTTCTAAAATATTTGAGATCTTCATCCAGTTCTTAAATTTTATCCAAGCTGAGTTTGAGTTTAGATGCTTGGAAATGAGAAGAATATTGTCAAGGTGTCTCTTGAAATTTCAGCCTGTCACAAATGTAATTCCATGCGAGTTATAACTTTCAGTGGAGATGACTTCTGATGTATAACTACAACACGTTATCCACGTCACGTCATACATACCCTTGTTCCGAACAGACAAAAGGCTTCTCTCCAGTGTGTAGTCGCTGATGAGTTTTTAACTGTCCACTCTGTGTGAAGGCTTTGGTACAACCAGGATAATCACATGTGTAAGGACGTTCCCCTAGAAGGCAGTTAAAACATATGCAAGCTCTGGGTGGTTTTTACAAAAATCCTGTACATTAAAGGTGATGGACACGTGCAGGCTTCGAAGTAGAAGCAGTAATAAGGTTTCAGAGACTGTAGTCATAGTTTTCGGTCGTATGTAAATGTCAGACGCTTCTCAAACACCAACAGCTGAGTTAAATATTGGACTACAGAAAATTGTAAGGATGTAGGAATGATTCAATTCTAAACGGTTTTGACGCTGGTAGATTACACTTAAAATTATTCATTGTTAGGACTTTTTCCATCGTCTATTCTTTAAAATCCACGACATTTCAGAGGCTGGTTCTGCCATGTGCAGTATAAGTACTGCACATGGCACAAAACAAATTTCTTAATCACACTAAACAAAAGCTAATGGTAAACAACAGAACAAGTTCTTTTATACTTTTTGTTTGACAGGGTAGTGGACTCTTCTGCAATAAAAGTGTTTTCCGCACACCTCGAGTAACATACAGTACACAAACACACTTTTGTTTGAATACGATCACTAGGCTGGTCACAACAAGGAAGTTAAATACCACATAGATGTAGGCACATAAAGTATAATCAGTCAGCTGTATTTGTCTGACATGTGGAACAGGGCAGTGCTAAGTGTTGCCTACAAAGAACAATAACCTGGTAGAAGCCATCAAAATATTGCCAAATATTTCTTCCATTTATGGGGTAGACCCATCTATAAGTCAGTGCTGTGTTGGAGATGAATGTGACAAATATTGTGCACCAAAATTTGTATCAACTTTTCTACAAATATGAAACTGTTGTGATGATGAATACCATATAACATGGCACTACTAAAGAAAGTTAAAAACAGATACATAGTCCACAATTTTGCCTTTTCTTTTATATTCAAGACTGTAAATATAGTATTCTGCATACCATATGGCACCTTAATACAGTAATTAGTTTGTACCCAACTGTTCACTATGTAAACAAAAAAGTGTAATTATAACCTAACACCTGAAGAAGAGAGTACAGCCAACCTCTGAAATGTTGTGTATATAAACTATACCTTACACAGGGGACAGTATCCAACATAGCATTCTCATAATATTGTCACTATTTTAGCAATACTGATTTGTAAACAAATTCATGACCGGACTGAAATGTTCATCTTTACTCCACAAGCCTCTCTGAAGGACTGTGACAAACTTCATGAAATGCATTTTCAGAATAATTTTAACTTCGTCAAACTGTCCGCTTCCACACCGATGCAACAAAATGAAATTCATACATTAACATCTGTCTTCTCGTCTTTCATTTATTTATTTCAGTACCAAGAATTAAATGTTTTCTGCCAGAATGAAACACGTCACCTTTTATTCTGAAATTCCTATTTTGTTGTCTGATACTGCTATAACAATTTTACATACAATTGTTTGATTCCTGATCATACATGTCAGAGGAGTTAGAAAATTGGCAGAACTAAAAATCCCTTATTTACATTTAGTTATTTACAAAAACAAAGGTAATCAAACTTTATGGCCCACATGTACCTTGAATGACTATTACAAACATAATGTATGTAAGAAATGTTCTGAAATATTAAGCACATCACACTAAATGGCAACATATGAGAGCTGCCAGCAAAGGTTGAAGATTTTATTTAAATTATACTGTAATAACATACCTGTGTGTGTACGAAGATGAGCCTGCAACGATTTTTCTCTGGGAAATACTCGATTACAGAAACGACATTTAATAGCACTGGGGGACGTGGAACCTTCCACGATCAAATTTGTAATAGCATCAGCTCTAGGTCTACCCCTTTTACTTTCATGTCTAGTAACAAATTCTGGAGAGCTACAACCACTGTTAGGGCTGAGCCCCAATTTCCGGGACTCTTCTACCCAATTCCACGGATGTAACAAGGTATCATCCGTTGATGGGGTTCTATGTAACTGGGATACTATTTCTTCAGTCGATTTAAAACGTTTTGGACTCTTGAGCTCCATGTTTTCACCAAATATTTGAGACCTACCCCACACTTCCTCCCAATACTGTTTCTGTGCAGCACTTCATCCGACGTTATTACCGCCAATACATGTTTATAAATTTTCGCGCGTTTCCTGTAGTAATCTCATTGGGTTAACAGTTATCGTAGGAGGTGCAATGGAAGCTACCTTCTGCTGTGTACATTCTTTGACTTACATGAAATTAAAGTTTAATAATAACATTAATACCCCGTTTTGTGTATAAATTGAACACGTTGTTCAGACGTCTTTGCTTGTTCACAGATTTATAACTGTTTTAAATGTTATTGTCCCACCCGGTTTCCCGCCAGTAATTATCCGATTTCATGATTCATGAGGTGTATGAATAATAGTTAAAACCATACACATATAATCAATAAATAATATATTATTACAAAAGTGCTGTAGCATAATTTCTGTAAAATTTATATTTTTTGCTTTATTTATTCACAAATATACATGTTCTTAGTTTTCGTGCAGGTACAAGTAACATACAAAAGAATTGCATGAGGCGCCAATCTATATTGTTTGAGTTCTAAACCTCGTGGGATAACCTCAGTCAACTATCGCCATATTGAAACTGAATGTCGAGTTTAGTGAGGGGCTCGTAGTAGCCATATACTTTATCTGCTGTCATCCTCGTAAATAGGAGGATTTAGAAAGCATGGAAAACTCGTACGGAATCGGCGTAACAAATCGGTACGCTTTATTCCTTGATGACGCAGAGGATCCTTTGGAAGTACTAAAAGTACAGGAGCAAGAGAAGGAAGCGAAAAAGAAAACGAAGCTTTCTGAGAAGGAAAATAAAGGGAAGACCGAAACGAAAGGAAAATCTGCCCAAGCACCTCGAAAAGGGATTAAGGAAACTCAGAATGTCAAGACTTTGGAATCTGGAAAATCTAAGGAAGGTAGTGTTTTGATATTATGTGAAATTAATACCGTAGGAAGTAGAATTTCACGAATACACCACTTTCGAAGATTTGTAGTTGTGTCGAGGAACAATTTGTTGCATTACATTATTTTATATCTGTAGTAAGAACTGCATGAGTTATGTAGGTGACTAAAGTGCCCTTTAATACAGTTTATGTAGGTTAGGTGATTTCCTTGCTCTTTAATGCTGTGTGTCCGAATGCGCATTACATATCACATGGCTGGCATCCAAATTCGGTATGAGACCTTCAGTTTAGAATAGAAATTATTTACAACCACAGATCCTTAATAGACCTAAGCAAAGGATGTAGAACATAACAAACACTTACTTATGACACAAATGTAAATTAGATAGTTATGGTAGTAATTTAGTCAGCTACAGTATTACTACAAAAATAATTCGAGAAAGCATAATCAAAATTGCTTGCATGTCTGTATAATCACTGAGAATTTTTGATTGAAGTAAATTCTCTGGAATAAAGGAGTGATATAGGAGAAAGTCTGTTGGTGTAGGCTTTAACTTTATGCCAAACATTTTGTTCACCTGTGTAAAGAATTATTTGTTGTATGTGATAAACAGTTCTTAAGTCTTTGTTAGATTGTTTTCTTGTGGTTTATGTACCACGTAGTCTTGTAAAATGGTCTGAAGAACACGTCTCCATCTTTAGGGTATAGTATTTCAGGTGGTTACCAACATTGTGGAACAACAAATTACTGTTATTTTCAAAGGTGTTCACCATTATGAATACTTTAAATCCCCAATACATTTGTGCAGATTCGTGTATCACCTTCATTATTAAAGTAAAGCACAGTATTTGAAGAAATGTATATAGCTAAGGTATTCACCAGTCTTCTGATAATGGGTTCGGTGATTGTGTTGTTCTGCCACGGTTCTTTGGATGGTGTAATGTGCACTCAAGCCAGATTTGAAGACCTTGAAAACATAACTTTGTTAATGTGTTGGCATAATGAGGCATTGTAAAAGACATTTTATTGCTTTGAAATAAAATGAGTTTGGCAGAAGATATGCCACTTTTTTAAGAAGTTGTACTTGGAAAATAAGTTTTTTTTGACAACTTCAGATATGTGCAATGTCACAAAAAGTAATTAAATTCTGAGAAGAAGGGCAGATTGGAAATATACTGAATTTATCAATTAAGTGTAAGTGGGGTTCATAATTAATTACTTTATTGTCTGGAGCTGGGCAGTCATAATTTTGGATTATTATGCATTTTATACTTTGGAACTTGGTTAATATGGTAATAAATGTTGTGGTATGGAGATTATTTTATGTGGGACATTTGTTAGATGTTCATGTTACGTATATAGGCATTTGATTCGATCTGTAAATAACAATATTAGTCTTAGTTTTGTAATGAATGTTTTACTTTCAGACAGTAACAAGAAAACAACTCAACGATCTACTGATCGCACTGAGCGCAATGTGAAATTCGCTGGTGAGTCTCGTGAGGAGAGGAACAACAGACGCAATCGTGAGGACAAACCTTCTTCTACTGCACCTGTGGACTTCAATAGGTTTGATTTTGTTATTTTGCCATATGTTGTTTTTAGGAAGTATAAGATTTCGAAGTATCCTTAATATTTTGTGCTGAAAGGAGTCTGGGTGTTATCTGAGGTAGTCATGAAGTGAATTTGGTGATGTAATATTCAAGTAGCATCTTCTTTGCTACCTACTTAAGTCAGTGACTGATTCCAGGAGCTGATTTTTTTTTAAGGTGTGCCATTATGTGCGTTGCTGACACTGGTAAATAACGTTCATATTCCATGCATGTAATTGTGAATTATGATAGAGTTGTGATAGTTGCACTAAAATAATTTTTTTGTTAATTAACAGATTTTTCTAAAGAAAAACATTTATTGTATGTGGGTAGTGGTTGTGTGTTTCAAGAGAGTATCAGTCCAAAGGTGAGTGTTAATGTTACATCCAATAGTTTCTGAAATGTTAAAGCTTCAGCTGTGTAGTTGAACATGAAATGAATCTTCATTCATCAGAGAGCCGAGGGATCGTGAAGGTCCTCGACCAGACAGTGATGCCCGCCAGAGAGGGCGTGGTTCAGGACGAGGTCTTGGCCGCGGAGGCCGCGGCAGCAGAGGTACTGGCCGTGGCTATGACAATCGTGGTAAAAGAGAATTTGATCGTCAGTCAGGGTCTGATAAAACGTAAGTGATCTAAATTAGTGTATAAATGAGTTGTTAGTAGACGACTAGGAAGTCACCCTGAGTTACTAATTATTAAAAAAATTCAATTTTGTATATTGTACAGCCTCGTTTATTTTGCGTAATGAATCTGGCTTGTGGTCTTTTTAGCTCCTGATTGGTAGATATGTCATTTATTTGAGGATTTCTCCAAAATGTCATAATCTTCATTTGTCTCTTTTTTTCAGTTGCTGTAATTAAAAGATGGTGATGAATTTTTATAATGAATGGAAATAGGTATTTCACTGTATGTATTGATGGGAATAAACAGATTAAATGTGCGTAAGGATTTGTTGGTAAAAAAAATTGGATGCTTTTGATTATTGGGAATCACTCACTGTAAAAATTCAATGCTATTTATTGATAGGAAACTAATAATTATTTTGGTGAGTAAAGTAACTTATCTTGAACTAGTCAGAATGTGTTTGCTGGTGTAGAAGCAGGTTTAATTAACATCTCGGTATGTTTTTTTGTAAGGGGGGGTGGCTTTGTTGAAAATTTCTCAAGGTTCTCTCTTCTAACAGTAATTTTCATGTGCACTTCTTACTTGAATTCCAGTACAGATAATTGTAATCCAAAATAGTCGTCCTAATTACAGTGGTGTGAAGCCGGTTGACAAGCGTGAGGGTGGAGGAGCTCATAACTGGGGGAATCACAAGGATGATATTGAGTGAGTATATACTTTGAATTTGTGTCTTGGTAACATTTTAATGCATTTTTATAGTGTGTACAAAAAAAATTAGAAGCTGAAGTGATCCTTGCATTATGATGACTGAACGCTGGCCAATAATAAGAAAGATTGTACAAAATTCAAATGAAATGTCGTACTTTACAGGGACTGGAAGAGTTGAAGTTTTAGGTGAATTAACGGGGCTGAAAGAAATTATGCATGTTGCAGGAAGTTGTACAATGAATTGGCGGTGAAGGGTGTGAAGTCGAGAAATAATAAAAGAGGGGGAGAGACAGGCGTTAGTATATGCCAGTGTTGCCAACAGTTATGTTTTAGATGAGTCAGACCTGTGTTGCTAAGAATTGAATAATAGAACATCAGTATCCAAGTTAATACTTCATTTCCTTGATTTTGTGTCTTAAGAGTGGTTATAGTTTCCCCCCCCCCCTACTTCAGTTGCTGTTTATTTTTTTAAGTCATTTCAGTTCTTGAAAACCTTTTACTAAATCAAGGGCGTGTCTTGCAATTGATGGCATCTTAAAATCAACGAGATATAGTATTATACTTTAGGTGGAAGATTTTAAGAAGGAAAAGTTTGTGAATGTATTGGCTAAAAGTTGCCCATTTTGTCTTATGTAGTTTTGTATTTTTTCCAGGGAACTCAATACAAGTCATTCTTCTGAAGATCAGCACGACTGGGCTGCCGATAAACCTGAAGGAGAAAGTCACCCAACGACAACAGAATCCGCTGACACTAAGTACGTGAGACACGGCTTTTTCTTTTCGTATTTTTCTGGGTAATACTGTTATCTGGGGTTTTGAAGTTCTCGTGGTTTTTGAAGAATTTTATTGTGATCGTATTATGCCTTTATTTGACACACAAAGGTGTGTCAAATGAATCCATGGAAGGGTAATCTGTCAGTGGACCGCTGATCACTTGTTGCGTCAGGTGAGAAGCTCCTCAGGGCTAGTCGGGATAATAATTTGTGACCGTAAAATTCTCGCTGCTACAAGTTGACTTTGGATTGTATATTTATGGTAAGATATTAAGCCTGATTTAATGCAAGTTAAAATGGGTAATGCAGTGGTTAATGAGTATACAGTATATGTTCCCCTCCATCCACAGATGTTTGAGGTCATGTGACCTGGTAACAAGTAAAGGGTTCGGTGGTGAGGTATTCATAATTTCCTGATATTATTATGAAATTCAGATTTTTTATTTTAAATCACATTATTTACCATTTTTTGTTAATAAAGCACTGATTTCTTAATTTTTCGGATAAAGGGTTTGACAGCACTTCGTGTTTTTGAATCAACTTGAAAATATGTTGGATTACACCGAAAAGCAAATTGTACTAAAGACTGTTATCTGTTATGTGTTACTTGCCCTGTACGTAATTAAATTGTGGTGAGCATCAGCGGTTATACGCCTATAGTGTCCCTAATTTGTGGGTGTATAGGGACACTGAGACTGCTGTTACTACTGCTGGCAGTGGCAGTGGTGGTGGTGGAGGTGGTGGTGATGCTGCTGCCGAAGTTGAGAGTGCACCACCTGTCGAAGAAGAACCCCGTGAGCTAACCCTGGATGAATACAAGGCGCTGAAGGGCAATCGGCAGAAACCGACATATAATTTACGTAAGGCTGGCGAGGGTGAGGACATGACTCAATGGAAGAAAATGTATGCGTTGAAGAAGAAGGAAGGAGAAGAGGAGGATGATGATGAAGAGGTACAATCGATTTCTGCGGTGAGGGAGGTGGCACTGATATCCTCCAACTTTCATCAAGGGAAAGTTCTTAGTTTAGCACAGTAACTTTTTCTTTTAACAAATGTGCGGACCTGTTGCCGTACTTTGAAAACTACTTTCAGTGGTTGAAATTGGATGTAATCTGTAATTTGTACAAAATATGAGAAGCTGTACTCGTAATTTTTACATTGATTGAGAAACTTCAGGATCTAAGGTCTTCCTGCATGAAGATCTTTTAATGTCACATTGGCATGTTAAGTGGCCGTACAGTGTTAATATGTGCTTGAAGGGGCGAAATTTTGTTTGCGTTGCATGCTGCAGCAGTGGATTAATGTATGTAATAACATTAAATTTTTTTTATTTCTGTGAGCCCTTCCAAACTCATTGTAGTAAAATTGACTTTGATGCTTTCCAGGAATACGATGTGTCTGAATATCCTCAGCGTGTGGGAAGACAGAAGCATTTGTTGGATATTGATATACACTTCGCCGATTCTCGTCGGGGAACCCGTGGGCGTGGGCGCGGTGGGCCTCGTGGAGGTGGCCGTGGTGGTCCACGTGGTGCCGGCGGTCCTCCGCGTAATGGAACTCCTGGTTCTCGAGTGGGTGGCTCTGGTGATGCCAGAGGCCCTGGGGTAGGTACATTTTCAGTCATTTTAGAAGATTATGTACATTTCAGGCCATCATACCTTCGAACTGAATAAATATATTTATGTAGTTCTTGCACAATGCACCTGAATTGCGCATTAACAGTCGAGTTTCCCCTGTTAGAACACGAAGCTACCTGAAGACTGTCAATTTGGTTGGTCTCCTATTTCATGCATGTTGTGTGGTGTTTTAACTGCGGAATGCCCCCCCCCCCCCCCCCTCCCCGCCCCGCCCCCCCACCTCTCTCTCACACACTGTCAGCTAGTCTGTGGCTTAATTTCTGTCATAAAGCCCCAAAAACAAGATGGTGGGTTACATTTTATAGAATCATCTACTGTGGAAATATGTGCAGTAAATATAAATCTTTGTGCTCGTACCCCCTTAAGCTGTATTTCTGCTGCTTTATAAGTCATTTCATATAATCTGATGATGTGATCATTGTGCTGTGTATTTCTTTACTTTCGGGGTGAAGAAAAATTGTAAATATGAAGAAAGATTTTTCATTTGTTATTGGCTTCATATTGGTTTTCATGTATTACTGAGTTTAGTTTGTCACGTACCAGGTTCTAACTCTGGAGGTCTTGGTGCATTGCGCGAGATTGACAGAGTGATGGCTTGGAGGAAAGCTTTTCTTTGATTACTTTGGTTCCCGTCTTCCATTTATGTGTTGTTCCCGTTTATTTTAACTACTTTATTGTTTCAGTCGCGTGATCGTGGCGATCGATTTGGAGAACGAGGTGATCGATTTGATAGGGAGCGGGGCGATAGGCCAGAACGCGATTCATACCAGCCGCGTGGACCGAGGCAGAGTGCACCAAAAGTGGATGATGAGCATGACTTCCCGTCTCTTGGCTAAGCAGTCACAAGATCGGCGTTGATGTCGTAAACCTCAGTACCCCTTCTGACATCAGAGCTCCTTTAATACCTGCTATTGGAACATATTTTCCTTTGTACAAATTCTGGAAGTCGGGCTTCCAAAATGTGTAGCAATCAAATTTTCAGTCAACACAAGGGAAGAAAGTTTTGTTCACTGTTTCGTGGGTAAGTTGGCTATAAATATCATTTGCCAACTATGAAGTGCTTACAAAGACTTCTTTACTCTTTTTCCCTAGTCAGCCCAGATATGGGGGCTTTTTTTTATTGAATATGGAGAAAGTTCATTTCCACTAGGCCTGTCTTCTGAGTTGTATACCCTGCAAAACATTTTTTGTGTCTTTTGTTATGCTTTGTACAAGAGTTGATATTGCTTTATTGGAACTTCAATATTTTCAACTTATGCCTTCCCCTCCCGTTTCTTTCCGCATAATTTTCACATATTTATATGGTGTTTATTGTATATGCTGTTGGTGTTGGCAGGTGACCACTACACATCAGCTGACTAAGTAAGTAGGTAAACTAAAATTATCGCATAGGATATTTATATTCCTAATAATATACAAATCATCGAATTTGAATCTGTTATACTTCTAAATGACAGGAGTCCAGAGGCTGAACTGATTTTTAGGTAATAGGATCTCATTTTACGGTTTTGTATGTTATTGACAACATTATTATTGGTGAGACAAAGTATTGCATTTAATTTGGTTCTATTCACCTACATAAGTCTGCGCAGCAGGTATTGATGATTTGGCTCCTGGATACCATTTGAGGTTTTCACAGCGGTGAGTATGAAGATGGCTGTCTTCTGAGTTGTAGCGTCATGTCGTCTGATAGAAGTGTACCGACATTTCAGAGGTCATCAGGGCAATGATAATCGAGGCAGCAAGGTCCTCTGAAATGTCTGTAAACTTCTGTCATACACAACACTACAACCAAGAAGGCAGTCAACTTGACTCCTGGATGTTAGAGTGATAATCAAATGATCACGCTGTTATTCTGGAGTACAATGTTTTCATTAGCCTAAGGTACTTGAATGCAAAACTTTTACGGTGCATATTAGGAATTGGTGCTTGACTTTTATTACAGCATAACTGAAGACTCGTGGTTCTCATTAAATGCTGTAGTACAGAGAAAGCAGTATATTTTATGCTAACAGGCGACTGAAGTTTATAAACAGCATAATTGAGTGATCACATGAGTGACATTGAGTTAGATATGATTTGATCCAATTGGGCAATTTTGAATTTGTACCGGAGTTGTTTTTATGTTGATGGCTTCAGACATGTATTCTGTGTTTGTGTGTCATTTGTTTTTGTGGCAGGTATTTGCATTTACAAGTGCTATTGTATGTAGATGAAATTTAATCTCCTTGTTAAAGTTGTAAATAATGAGATTTAGTTTACTTTTCTCTTGAGCACTGTCATTACCATCATGTGAATAAAACTTTGTTTCCTGTATGAACATTAGCATCAGAATGGAGCATAAGTTGTTACAGTACATGTAGGGGTGAGGCTGTTACACATCTGAGCATAATGGGCTAGGAAGTTTGAATGAAGTTTGCATCCTTTTCATTGTGCACTGAATCCTGCAGTTATTTATGTATAATATAATATCCTCGGAGTTGTTTCCTCATGCACTGAATGAGTTGCATACTTCTACTTTATTCCTTTCTATGAAATGAATTGAGTATTGGCTGTTATTAGATGAAAGTCATTTTATCTATAAATTTGTCATAGCCGAGATCTTTAATAAAGGGATGTGTACATCTATTATTTGTATAAGTATTTCAAATCGTATGGTGCCTTTTTTCAATCCACTTGCTTTAACGTTCTGTTTAAGGTGATTGTTCGGCTTTTACTTTGTGGCTGTTGCGTCTGTGTGACCATCTTCAAGAGAACTTTCAGCAAAAGTTTTGGGTTTAGCCCTTTATTTTCTATCATTTTCACCTCTTATCTAAATTTATTGTTATTCAATCTCATTTGCCCCTTCCAAACTTCATTATACAGGTGATCACAATGTCATGCAACATATACTAAAATATTTATTGTTGATTACAATCAATCCAGTTTGACTGTATTAATAAATTAGTATAGTGGTATGAAGTGTAATTTTACATCAGAGCTGAAGAATGGGAATGAGGATTTGTGATGAAACTATGAGAAGAGTGAATGTAATGATTTGGCTCAGAGAATTTACTGTACTTTTTTTAAACATTTTATTTTTAAATGAGGTCAATTGGGAGGGAAGAACATTAATTGGACAAAATTCTGATGATAGTATTTGGACCTGACAAACTCTTGATCGTGCTGGAGCGATCTGAAGAAATATGGAGAATGGACTGGTGATGAAGTTGCTTTTGGGAGTTAATTGCCTGGCTATAGTAGGTAGATAGTATCAGGCCCAAAACCTATAGTTTTTCATATTGTAAATAGAGTGCCTCCACCATAAAATTCATTTTTATTTCGTCACGTATGGTTAGGGTAAGACCTATTAAATCGTTGCATGTTTTACATAGCAGTTCCTGCAACTCGTGAATTAGGACATTTTTCTCTTCAGGGGGGGGCAGCAAACATACGCTACATCTTTTTGCAACGGAACCGATTCACGATGTACCGTTGGTCGCGTAAAAGCTTCTTCCTTGTGATTTTCCATTAATTGTGATTGGTGGATTGCAGCCAGCACAGAAGCCTAGTATGTGAAAGTAGATAAATGTAGGTTATGTGTGAATGCAAGTATATGTGATAGTCGGTGGAACGTACGTTTTGAGATAGGATTCATTGCTTTGTGTTGTGTGTGGAATGGATCGCAATGTGACACCAAGTATGTATAAATGTAATAAATACAACATAAACAACTCTGGGTAATGTGTTTATTAGGTTAGATTATTCTGGATTGTGATATAACCTTTTCTAGGAACTTATCTCCCAAGGTGAAACAATTGATAACCACAGGAACCGATTACGTCACAACCCACTTTAAGATAACGAATTGCTCACAGTGAGAATAGGTGATCTCAAGTTAGAATGCATTCCCATTGCGGAAAGATGATACATAACGTAGTTGCAAACTAATAGTACCTTTAATTCTAAAAGAAGCAATGCGTAAACAGTGTTGTGTGTAAAATATTGGCCCTGATTGCGATTTGGACCGTTGCGCTGCAAAGAAACCCGTACATTCCATGGATATTTGGAGGAAGACGGTATAACCTGTTTTCGCAAGTTCTTAGCGTTCTGGATCTTGAAGCAGGAAATCTACTTGATACCCCAACCTTCCTGAATTGTGACAGTTATTTTATTGCCTTTTTTCCTCAAACTTGTAGTTTGTAGAATTATGCTTTAGAGTAGCATTAATGTTTTCAAACAGTTCATTAGTTCCCTGATTGATATATCCTGTTTTTTATTGTACCATTTGCAGAGAATTTTAAAAACCAAGTGCCATACAAATTCAGCTTTAAAATAATAACAATGATTTAAAGTATTTTCTTAATAGTAAAGCATAGAAAGTATTGTCGTATTGATCGCAAATTATTTTAAATTGAATAAACCATTTTATGTTGTTTTTTCCCAGTAGTATCATCATCATCATCATCATCATTATTATCATTATCATTTTGAAATCTAGACTGCTACTATTCACATCACCATCATATCTACTAGCACCATTACTAGTGTTGCTGTTATTATTTTGACAGCTCAGCTTATCCAAATGTCTACAGAACCATTAAGATCAGATGGCAGTGAACTGACACCTTTACAGTCAAACCAAGAGCAAGGAAGAAGCTATGGAAATTTAGTTGCATATTGGATTCTGGGTCTTTGTAATAATTTTGGATATGTTGTAATGCTTAGTGCAGCCCATGACATCCTAAGCCAAAACTTCCATGACAATGTAGAGGTTAGTTGAACAGTGTTTCAGATTTATACTTCACATGACTTAATCTCTGCAGTGAGTAATCTGAATTGTACATTATCATGACATTTAGAAACATTAATGCAAGCATTTTTTCATGAAATTTTTTAGCCAAGTGAGGACCTTCAGAATGTATCTGCATGTGATGTAACAAATATTATGGACAAATATGAAGTTCCCAAGAAATTTGTAACTCCTGTGTTCCATTGTGTGTGTGTGTGTGTGTGTGTGTTTCACATTTTGAGACAGATTTGTATGGTTTATGGATTAGTAGCAGAACTAAATTTATTATTTCAGGCTGTATTAGTGATATTAATTTTACAAATTCTCGGTTAGAAATTGGAATCCTTATCATAGCAACAAATAAAGATAATGACAAACTTTAAAAAGTTGGGTTATATTTAAGTATAAAGGGAAATGGAAAAGATCAGTGATGAAATATGAGGAGAAATAAATCATAAATGGGAGGAGGGGGGAGACAAAGAAGCAAAGATGAGAACCGAAGGGATAACTATAATTAAAGATGATGACAAAATGCAAAACAATGGGCTATGATTAACAAATATAAAGGTCAGTGTTTAAATAGGTGGAGAATGAAATCATAAACTGGGGTGTAGCAAAGATGAGAGACAGTGATATAATTTAAAATGAAAGTAGAGAATGTAAAATGATAAAACAAGTGTAAAGATATTTAGGTGCGGTCATAAGGCCATGGCATCATGTCATACATTGTAAAATGTAATCAGGAGACTTAATAAATGTCAATTAATACTAGTACTTTTTTCTTCTTATTAAAGGAGGAAAGTTCTTCTGATTCAGTAAGCAATACAACCCGTGAATGTAATCCAACTTCAACTGGTGCAATTCTGCTAGCAGATATTCTTCCGTCTTTAGCAATAAAAATATTGGCACCATTCTTTCCATTTCTTGTACAGTAAGTGTTACATTTTAGTTTTCTTTCCGATTGTTTAAGCTTGGAGTAATCAGGTGGTCAGTGATAAAGCTATAAGAAAATGTTCAAATTGCTGTGTAAAGTGTCGCCATCTGAATGGATCTTTTGTTGTCTTGCAAGTGGTTACCGGTGTTTTGGAGGAACATTTAATGTCAATGTATCTGTTAACAAATTTCAGTAATAATTACATTTCTGTAAATGTACTAGTTGAGAATTTTTAATGAGAGTTGTTTTATTTCGTGTCCCTTATTACAGGTCATCTAAACATGAAAACCAACCAGGTAAATATTTTGCATTCACCATACTCTTTAAAGTCACGTAGTGTAATAGTTGTTCAGAGCATATGCCTTGTGTCTGTGGAGGTAATTGTACGTAGTTTTTGTAACTCAGCCCAATTTATTCTCTGTTACTTTTGTAGTGTACGAATGCTACTGGTAGTTTTGTTAGCTGCAGTTGGCTTCTTGCTGGTAGCCTTATCTACAAGGGAATGGATTGCGGTCCTTGGTGTTGTGTGCACATCATTGGGATCTGGACTGGGAGAAGTTACACTACTTTCCTATAGTTCAATATTTGATAAGTAAGTTTCTAATTATATCAGATAACAGTGGTTGATTAGCTAACATGATATGTGGCTATTAGGAAATATACTATATGTTTTGTTGTTATGGGCTATGTAACCTGTGTTTAATAATGTAATTTATCTATTTGTTAGTGCTGTGACAGTTGTAAAATTAATTCCAAGGAGCAGAGTCCTCCATAGACACTTGTATGATCAAGAAATTCACCGTTTATGGAACAAAAAGGTTTTTTTTAGGGGGGGGAGCAGTTGTAGACCCCCTTCCCAACCCCCAAGCTTGGGGACTGTCCCTTGTCAGTTCTCCACAGCTGATATTCAACATATTTAAAACTGTCATCCATGTCTGAGGTCTGCCTCATTCGTCCAGAACCTGAGGACGCAGCATGCTTTGTCGACAGGCTGTACCTCTTGATAGAATTCTTGAATGAACGTCTGGCAAGAAGATGCCATGAGGCGTTGTCCAAAGGACTGCCTCTGCTTTTTTCTGGAAGTTCAACAGGTGTCAGTAAAAGAGGCACGCATCAGCACTTTAGCTGAGCAAATGATTATTGAAGCGTAGCAAAATAATTTGATAATTTTCTAGTCACTTGAACCTTATTATCATAATTCTGTGTGTTAGGTGAGCCAGAACCCACTCGGTCATGGTGGAGTGGCCTGTCTCTGGTGGAGGACCTCTGTTTGAGGTAAACTGTGGAACTTCTTTGTCCGTCATGCTGGTGCAGGTACTGAAAAAATGCCTTCACCACGTCCCCGTAGACCCACATCCCATCTATTTAAAATCCATTACTGCAGAATAATTACTGTTATTTGGCAAGTTACCATTCAGTACACCAGGTGGGGGATCATGAGTGTCAGTTTCTTGAACGTTCAACCGACCAACACGAACAGTGGCGGCTGAGTTTTGGATGCTTCTGCACATATACTGCCACTTGCCTTCATTAGCCAACCAGCTTCAGTCTCTTTATGCTGTCTTCGGTAGTTGGCGTATAAAGTATTTAGTTACTTTGTGCACGAAGCAGATGCCAGGGCAACATCACAGTTTTTTGTTTTTTTTAAATTCAAATGGATGTAAATATGCAGATACCCGTAATTGCTGTAAGTGCATCCGCTGTGCACTGCATGTAAGTTAATGCACGTAAATTGCATGTCTGGCTGCAGTGAGTTGGTAATCAGCAGCCAACATAAAGCATTTGTTTCGGTGTATGGTGTCATGCGGACAAGACATAATACTCGACAGCCAGTGACGTGCTTCATAAACAGGCTGCTTTAAGATTGGAAGCATAACGGTAATACCTCAGTTTGTGGCTTTGCAGGTGCATTTCTTCAATACAAAATTTTTTTATGAATATTATTACTGGAAACCATAACAAACTTTTTCTCAGTAATATGAAATTGTGGGTGTGTTTGTTTCTTTGTTTTGTTTGCTGTTTTGTTGTTGTTGTTTTTTTACGGCAGTGTCAATATTTGAAGCTTGAAACCATATTTGATTCAGTGTTTGAATTTTAGTGTTCATATTAATGTAATTAAGGACATTTCTGTCCAAGTGTTTCTGACAATTTTTGTTGCATTTTACTTATAGATGCTTAACAACTCGAGAATGGCTGAACAAATTTTCATGAAATTTGGTATGGATGTTGTGCCATTGGATGCTGCTCCAGCCTCGTAATTTATTCTTAAATGCAATGTAATGCCTGATTATATTTCTCCTAGGGATGTAATATCAACTTGGTCTTCAGGAACAGGAGCTGCAGGAATTTTGGGTGCTGGTTCTTATGCCGGACTAACTTCAGTTGGCCTCAGTGCAGCAAATTCCCTGTTAGTGATGTTGATAGTTCCTGTCATTATGGCTGCCGTGTGAGTAATAATTTGGAATTACGACATTCAATATGAATGCCCATTTTAATATTAATGCTACATAAGCCTGTTGTCCAAAGTGAACTTGTATGAATTCACACGTGTTTTAGTTGCAGAAAGATGATACTTTAAGACGACTGTCTTCTAGGTTCTTGCGCCATGTAGTCTGTAGAAGTTTACTGACATTTTACATGCGTTTGCTACCTCAATCACGGTGAACTTCTACCAGACTGCAAGGCACAACAACTGAGAAGATGGTCGTCTCTGTACTTGCTGCTCCCCAGCAGACATTGTAATTGCACATGGAATTTGTGGTGGAAAACTTGACCTGGATTTGGTTCCATTGCAGTTTTCCTATTTCTCCTTTCATTCCACATTTTCCTACATAATTCATAGTTATTCCAGAAGGTGTCAGGAGATCTTGAACCTGTAGTCACTCACTTTGTCTGATTTCAAGGTGTGGGAAGCTATTTTGCTTACCTCCATGCTCCACTATATTTCAATTGACTGTTTTTAACTTAAGTTATCAAGCTGATAGCCCAGATTTTGATAACTTTCCTTACAAATTGCATTATACCCATCTCTTAAGAAAACAGAGTCATAATTGCTGTGTTTGTGTGTTTACGTCTGGCATTGTATGTTTATTGCAGATTCTGGCTGTTGCTTCGAGCCCCTGGTTCAAGGACATGCACATGGAAATCAATAATAAACCGTAATGATAGTAGCCAAGTAAATTCAGAACAAAGCCCATCGTCGGTGCCTGCGCCTAAGCTGGAAAGCTCACCAGTTGAATCACCTAAACCGCTCACTGTAGTGGAAAAAATAAAGTTAATTCCCCCACTTTTTGTATTCATGATACCTCTGGGTCTAGTTTACTTGTTTGAGTATTTCATCAATCAGGGATTGGTAAGTAATATTATGAAACATTTTTCATATTGCAGTGGTCTCCAGTTATGTAATTGATTCCGCTTGAAAGGTTCAAAATTATTGAGTAAAAGGAAGTTTGGAATGTAACTTCATTGTGAATAACTCTCACAGTGAGGATTAAAGAAAAATATATTTCCAAAGAAATTTAATTCCAGTTAACTCTTCACAATGTAAAGGTTAATCCAGATATACTAAACATCAAGTTACAGTGGTTAGCATTTCTGTTTTAATGTTCTGAAGGTCCTGAATTAAAATAATGGCCTACATGTTTATTCCCGAGTGTTTTCATGCTTTTCCCCAGTCCCTCCATGCAAATGTAATGTTAGTGCCTTAAGTACTTTACAGATTTTTTTCTGAAAATATGATCCGTTTTATTTTTTTAGGTTTGGAATATACCGAGAAAATCAATTAATTGGAATGTGCTTTGATGCACAATATTTAATTGTACTGTATTTTTTTTAATCGTCGGCCCAAGACATCTTGGGATAATCGGGAAAACGGTTAATATATACCGTGACTGCTTCATTTTACATTCTTTCCAATTTATTATTCAAATGTCTTCCAGTCACTTGATGGTACACAATCTGGGCAGTTTAAAAATCATAGTTAAGTAAATTAAGAATAAATCATTTACTCCATATTTGGAATTATTGTTGATTTTCATTAAATCTTTTGATATGAAAGAAGAGCTGATGAAATGTAAATGAAGAAGAAATTAAGATTTCAATATTATTGCTTTGTTACATAATTTTTCTTGGTGTGACTGTGATAAATGCAATATCCAACACGTATTACACGTTTAGGGTTGATACAAAAATTATTTATAAACCTTTCTGCGTCCTCCTCTTTAGGTTGTAGACATGATTTCCTTCTGGGCATTATAGCGTTTTGTTCGCGTGCTATTCGTTTATTGTTAAGATATTACTGAATATGAGAGGAAAGTAAAGTAATAGATTATGGAAGAATGATAGTTGCGTGTGTCCGTAAAATATAGTTTTAATGTATGTTACCTATATACAAAAATTAAAAGCGTGACTAAACAGTTTTACGTCTCCGTTTTCAGTTTGAGTTGATTTACTTTCCTGATATATGGCTTAATCTTCATGAACAGTATCGCTGGCTTCAAGTTACTTATCAGATTGGTGTCTTCCTGTCGCGTTCATCGGTAAACTTGTTTGTCGTTCGCAAACTCTGGATTCTCGCTGTTCTGCAGGTAATTTCCTGGTGTATTAATGCATAAAATAGTGCTTCATTTCATTTATTGTGTTTATTGTTTGTAATAGAAATTTATGAAAATGAAGTGACTTGAGCCAGTTTTGTACGTGCGCAAATATCTGGGCATTTGATGTTTGTTCTTGTCAGGACTGTTCAGTACTTAGTACGACTGAACTGCATACCGAACTGAAACCAAGATCCTGTGAAAACGTATTTCCCACTTATTTTAATCATAGATTCGTGGAGTAGGTAATAGGGAATTACTAATTCTAATTGCACATGCAAGACAATTCAGATTCCTGGAGTAGGTAATAGGGAATTAATTCTAATTGCACATGCAAGACAATTCATGTGAATCTCATATCATAACCATGCAATTATAGCTGTTAATTTCAGTATACATGTTTAAAAAAAAGTATACTGATGCGACTATTGAATCGTGTCTTCTAATAACTTAATATACTGAGCCCGATGTTGGAAGAATTCTGGAATTCCTAATACATTTAATTGTTAAGTGCCTCTTACAGTTATTTCATTAAATCATACTTAAAAATTTATTAAACTTGATAATGCAAACAAAAGAACATTCTGTGTACCAAGAGTTATTCTCTGTGGGGAGGAAAAAAGAATCTCTCTCTCTTTCAGTTTCTGAATGTGATTTTCTTCACCTTTGAGGCAGTCTATCTCTTCCTTCCCAGTATATGGATAGTTTTTGCAGCAGTGCTGTGGGAAGGGTTACTTGGCGGTGCAGCGTATGTCAATACCTTTTATAGGATATCTACTGAGGTTAGTATTTCTTTTGTCTTTATGTTCGATATCATTATTATGTAACCTGTGTTTGATTGCAGCTTCAGTAGTTTAATACTGAGAGGTGTTTCAACATTTTAATTTATTCTGGGTACCTCTTATTTACACCATATTCTCTTTAGTGGGCATTTCAGAAAAACTATTGATAATCAACAAAAAGAATATGGTCAACTCAGACTTAATTTAGATGTTATTCTGGGTTAGGGTTGTAAATATTTAATGTTTCCAGTACATTTTTTATCTTGAATATATTGAGTTCCTGGCTTAATGAACACAACTGTGTGTAGTGCTACATTCCAATATAGCAATAGTGTATTAATTATTAACTAAATAGATGGCTTAGGGAACCCGAAGGTTCATCATCAAATTAACCAAAGCCCTCCACCGGTATTAATTATTACAGAGCAGAAATGTGGTTTTATGTAAATATCAACTACTATTGACATATCTCTTACATCTTTCCTGTAGTTTCAGTGGCATGTATTACGTTACATTTTGTGTATATATCAAGAATGTAGTTTTGTATTTTGCAATTTTTTTATATTTAAAATTTAATTTTTTGTATTTTCTTCCAGGTTCCATTTGAGAAGAGGGAATTTTCTATGGGAATTACAAGCCTTTCAGATGCAATTGGTATAGGGCTTGCAGGGGCCATAGCACTTCCTGTGCACAATATTTTGTGTCAGTTGCCAAAACCATACTAAATAATCGGGTGTGGTCTGTGTAATTTTGTTTTTACTGTACTACTGAAACTGATCACAGGACTTTAAGTTGTCCTGAAGTCTGTGATAGCTATGAAAATGTTTTGTGATAGTATCCGTCATGTTTCAAGTGTGCCAGCCCTAAGAAGACCTTGGAAACAGTTGCATTTAAAGTGTTATCTTTCAGCATCTACAAAGTTGTTTCATTGTTCCTGTGTTGTTATTCTTGGTATGATGTGCTGGAAGATGCAGCATAATTTCATAATCTTACCGAAAATGTAGCAAATTTCAAGGATACTACCAGCTCTCTGCAGTCACTTCTGCCACCTGATGACAATCAAGCACAACCTGCTGTACAAATCATTTTCATATGTTACAGTATTAAAGGTTGCCATGGTGGTAAAGTTGGTTGTGACCATGTGTGGACTTGTAGATGGGTACCACCAGGGCTTAAAATGGATGCAGTATGTCCCTCTGAATTTATGGGTACCCACACACAAGCCCACACAGTATTACAACCCAGAAGAGCACAAGAGACATATTCCTGTGATTCACAATCATTGTTGAACCTTGTAACAAAAACGACCTGGTCTGAGGTATCATTTGTATACCACACACCATCTGTAGCGTCTAGAGTGTTACTGTTGCTGATTCTCCAAACTGTTGGCAATGTTTGGTGTTGGTCAATTGCTCAATGTGATCAGTTTATTTAAAATTGTTGACACAATTTGCTCTCTGTGGGACCTATTGCACCTGCTAGCCTAATAGCAGCTGCACATTAATGTGGAAGAATAATATTTTTTAATGTTTTTTATTATTAATTTAAGTACTATGTCATTCCAGTATGTACGGTGGATGTACTAACAAAATGTGAAACACTTTTGTGCCAAGCTATTTCTTCCATCGCTTAAAGTGAAAGGAAAATTAAATTTTGCTGTTGTTTTTTTCTTCCCATCCAGGCATTTTTTGTTTATTAAATTCCCAGACTGATGTGATTTGTAAAGTTTGTGGTGAATGTTGGTTTAAGTTAGTGGTACGCATGCGCAGAGGGTATATGCTGGATATGAGTTTTGAGGATATCAGTTTCGGTTGGAGTGGGTTAGGTTTGGTCTGGTTAGTCATGCTCATGGTGTTGCTTTGGTACCTTCTCACGGTTTCTAACTTCTGTCACGTTGGTATTATGGAGTAGGAATTTTAAGTTGTCATATTGCATAATGCACGTACCAAATTTCGTGAAAATCCCTGCAATTATGTTACGTTTCAGCGGGTGAGATTTGATAATTTGGTTAAGTCGGGTTAGCTTGTAGGTTGATGTGTTTATGAGGTTTGTAGTTTACGTCGAGTTATATTAACTTGTAGGAAAGCATTAGAATTTTGAATCCTCGTTTAGTATCACTGACGACGATGTAATGATATTTGAGTTTGCTAATAGTGCAATTGATTTCATAGTTTTCTTGAAAAACAAATGAATTGAAAATAAAATTTTATTTTTAGTCCTCTCAGTAATGAGGTCCTAATCTGAAACTTATTTAGCTTCTACGAAATGTGATGTTGCCACAATAGATACCGTAGATTTCCTACAATGCAGGAATTGTAATATGTGTGCGTAATTATTATACTCACTGGGCAAACTTTATCCATGGTAATGTCCAGTGGTTGGTCTTACTGTTGATTGGTCCGTTTCGTACTCTATGTTGATATTAATCTATGGCTTTTGTGCTCATTTCTTGTGCATACGGTCTGTAGTTGTAAGGTTGCGATTTGCTAAGTTCTTTTAATAAGTTGAATTATCGTTGCTATCATCCTTTTTAGGTCCTTTGATTCCCTGCCTCAATAAAATACATATGTGAACGTACTCTGTCGTTTGGTTTATATTCATGTCTTAAGTACGACTTCAGGAGTAGGATAGTGTACGTCTAGTGAGGCAGCTATAGTTTCAAATTGTTCTGATAATGGATTCGTCGCAGGTATGTATATGTAATTCATAATATTATAATAAGACGGTTGTGGGTGATTTAATTTTGCTAATATTCTTATGTGTTGATTTTATGTGACAAGTAAGCTTAAAACTATGAAAACATGATCAAGATACACTACCTTATGGTTTCAGGTGTAGTTTTGCGAACAGAGTTTATGAATTTGCTGATAGGTTAAACATTCCGAAGTTTCTTTTTAAGTGGAAGAGGAATAAAAATAAACTTCAGTGGCAGTTTTGGCTCATCTATGATTGCAATATCTTGATGGTAACAGCAAAAAATTTACAATGTCAACATAACCTTTAGCTTGTAGATGCAGGAGTGATTTTCTGAAACAATAAAATTAATATAAAACTGTACAAGATTACTTAGAAAAGTGGCACCCTTACAGCAATCTAGTGCGTTCATTCATTTGTTTGTCTGCGAAACCAACGTACATTGTAATGAAGTTTGCTTTTATTTTATAAGTCCTTGCTGCCTCCATTATCAGTTCCTATATCTCACACCAATTCCACATTCACAGCTTAGTCATTACCCTGATGATGGCTGCAGCAAGGACCTCTGAAACTCCTGTAAACTTCTACCAGACTACAACCCAGAAGACACATCATCATTCAGGTTGATTAGTTCTGGCTGTAACTCGTAGTCTTCTGTGGGACACCAGCTATCCAGAGCTTTTCCTCAAACCCTCCAAATCAGAGCCAGGATACTCACTCGGCTGCATTATTTTCCAATCCTTTCTGCTGATTGTATGTAATCCTTCTCTTCTGCCATGTAATAAATAGATATATTTTCAAGGTCCCTGTCTGTACTGCAGAATTGGACTCATTTATTATTTGAAATTGTCTTCGTGGAATGAGTGAAGTGGAGGGTTATTTCTATGGATGCAGTGGATGCTGTTTGTTGTCATTGCTCAGTGAAATGTTAGTGGGCGCAATTCATAGAGAATTATATCAGTTTCATATGGCAGACAGGAATTACAGTAGCTTCAATATTTCACTTTTGCCTTTTTATCCTAAATTAGAGGTGGCACTTAATTTAGTAATACATTTTCTTTTCTTTTTCTGTCATAGCTGTCTGGGAATGTAAATTATGAAAATGATATTCAGGTACAGTACTATATTTAATTGAAATAAATTGTGGCCATATCTTTCAAGTGCTTTTCTTAGACTTTCTTTTATTTCCCATCAGTTTCTTTCTTCTTAAATATAAACGAATTTCTTTATAAGGGAATGCTGGAGGCTTTAGTACCTTAGTAGCTGCATATTATTTTTTCACAAGTTGGACAGCTCTAGATTTTTTTTTACATTTTGCTTCATAAACATAAAATTCACAGTATTGACAGTTTAATTGTTAACCTTTATCATATGGAAATAGGGTACTTAAATCCCCAAAATACAGTGCTTTTGTTAACCCATGGCAGTTTTTTGCTTGTCTATTTTATTTGTAAATTTAGTTTTATGTAATAATAATAATAACTAATAGCAATGACATATATAGGGAGGGAGATGTTTTAATTGTAATTTGCATGGCAGTTTGCCAAGAAATGCAGATTATGAATGGTACTATATATGCTTGTTGGTAAATCATTTTTAGGGAAAGTTTTGCCTAGATGAAAGGAATTTTTTCTGACCATTGTTCTTAGAACTGATATAATGCATTGTGACTATATCTGGTGACTTGTGTGTTGCTTGACAGTTATCAGTATCATTGATTATATTCCTCTGGTGATGGAGAGTTTATTATCACGGTTCTGTACTGCTATTTGATGATAAGTAGTATTGAAGCAAATCAGTAACAGTATAATTAATAAAGACTTTGTTTGTCCACAGCCTATGCCCACTCAGTATGAGACTGGAATGGTAAAGTTAAAGAGAGAACAGAATTTTATATGGAACATTTTATTGTCTGTGCATGGATATTAAGAGTACACAATATTTTTGAAGATCATAGTAAAAAGTAGTGAAATTATATTAGGGTTTGTCTTGTACATTTGGCAATCTTTTTTCAGTATAAGGCCATTTTGAAAAGTAATGCCTCAATTTTAATATCACCATTATTGTTATATAATTTTTGACGTAAATACGTCTATATGGAAGGGTCAGTGTCATTCTGCAAAAAATTATAACGAAAAAGTGTTACGACAGAAAAATGTGTAAGATCTGTATCAACAAATCGACGACAATGTGTAAATATGGACCGACAACCATGGTCAGCTTGCGTGCATTGTTATGTTACCTAGGAAATGTCATCTGTTTATTCGGCATTGTTGTGTTTCAATACTGCCGTTAACAATCCGCTTTCGTTATTGCGGAAAGAGCTGAGCTATGAATCGCTTGTAGAAGAAGTGCGTCGTAGACTAGATAATTTTGTGCTGGTAAAAAAGTTTTGCTATATCATCTTATCTTATATAAGAATTATTAAGAAATCTATTGTTGCATTAGTTTATTGCGTCATACTATGTACAAGATGGATGACATTGAAGCTAAAAGACTCCATAACGCAGAATATATGAAACAGTACAGAAAACGTAAAAAAATATAAGTATTAAATAATGAACTCCAGAGTGTATGGTCAATGGTGAAAAATTTTTAATTGTAATCCTGTATATTTGTAACCACAAACCTATTGATGATTGTAAGAGACTTATTTTGAGTCATTTGAGAAATTATACAAAGATGTTTTCAGTTATGGCCACAGAAGATCCTAATACAATGCCGATAATATTGATAGGAGATTTTAACATTAATTTAAAGAAGGAGGAAAATCAAAGCTTTGTCACATTTATGGAAGAAACGTTTGGCGTAATGTTGATGTCAAATCCTCAATGTAGTACTACTAGATCAAAATCTTGTATAGATATGGTGTTTGCACGATATGTTGATACTCTAAAATGTACAAATTTTATAACATATTTCAGCTACTAAGCATAACTAATTCAAGGTAGGCAGTACTGTCTAACTCAAACTTTAATCAATTCTAAAGCGTGTATAAAGAAAATATTTAGAATAAAGCCACTACATAAACTCCTTACTCTATAGACGTATTTACGTCAAATTCTCCGGAACCGCGGTTCCACTGTAACTTTTTGATATTATTTATGATTGTGGTATATGTGGTAATAAGGAATTCCAAGCAGAATTAAAAAAAGAAAAAAATTCTCATACTCTCCTCCTGCATAAAATTCCAGTTATACAAGTTGTGTCCTTCTAGTGTTATATTTAGTTAATGTAAGTTCTGAGTCCAACAATAAAATGTATTCTTGGGAATGAATTCTACTTGTCTGATATTTTAATTACTTGCAGTTACAAATATGTTACAGTTTGTTGTTGGTGGTGGTAGTGGTGATGATGGTGTTGGTAATAGTAGTAGCAGCAGCAGCTCCAGTAAAGCTGAACTATTTTATTTTTGAGAACTTATTGCTTCAGTGCATATTCCATATTGAATTTTTTTAATTTAACCATAAAATTTCCTAAAATTAAAGTTTCACATGGCTGCCATTTTGCTTTATATTCTACAAAGTGATTACTTTAATGAAAATTGCATATTTTTTAAGAACTGTTATGATACATGATTTCAGGGTCATATATTAACTGGCGCTAATATCACTTTCATTGTTACTGGTTGTGGGAAATTAAAAAGTATGCACTTGTGGTGGTCTCGAGTGTTATATCGTATACATCACGTTGTATGAAAATCGGACATTTTGTTTAAAAGCTATAAGGGGGTGTTAAACACGTAGAACATTGAACTCATAAGCCCGCCTTTTTGTGTAAGAAAATAGAGTATAAAACAAAAGAAGAAGCAAAATCAATTGTGAGTTTACATTACAAATATGCTTGTACATATGAAGATGTAGAACTTTGATCTTTATATTAAATCTTTCTGTCATATACATTTAGTATATGATTTTATCATAAAACGATATGTGTTCACTTGTTTAGGCATTTGTCCTGCAGTAAAAGCCCGACTTGCATAACATACTTGCCACCGGCAGTGATGTGAGTTACATACTGGCTAGATTTTAATAGTGACCTTGTGAGGAACTGGTGAACTTTGATCCCTCATATGCTTGACCTTCTTAAACACTCTTCATTAAATTCTCATTACACTTAATGGAAGACTTCGTTTCGATTCCCATTTCTTTGGGAGTAATTGAATGAAGCGTTGTCCTTCGTGTGTTTGTATGAAAAATATGAATCAGTGTGAAATTTTGAAGTATGAAATATGCATTAAATATTAATAATGTGCTATCTTTTAGTATTTTAATGTAAAAATACCTTAGCTGAAAGTACTGTAATGTGTTATACAGTAATTTTTGTTGTTGTTTACCATGACAGTAATACATAACAACATTTTATTCTGTCATTCTTTGCTATATTCCCGCCGATTTCTGAAGTGTTTTGCATATGTACTATTAACCAGCATTAAGCAGAAGAATTTGTAAGTGTTAAAATACATCTTATGTTTACGTCTGACAAACATGGTGTATTTTAAATATAGTTCAGCACCTCTCGCCATATAATGGGGAGTTTGGAAGTGGTGATAATTATTTTATTTATGTATGTATAACTTATGAAATTTAATTTTATATGTATATAAAACATTTTTGTACATGCAGCCACCTGCTCGGGATCCAAATGTTGGATCGCCGTATAAGGTAGGGAATTACTAAAAAGCGTTCTTGATCTTGTGGTTTTTAACTATGATTTCTTAAAGTTAATAAGTGCATTTTTGTTTTAGGCCCTAAGATCTTCCATGAGTATGAATTTAGGAGTATTCAGAGAACCACGTGGTGTTATGCGTATCCTTCAATTTGTAAGTTACTGTTTTCTGAGTTTCAGATTGAAGTGAGTATTTTAGTTTATACAGAAATTCAGTTATGGTTTGCTTACTATGTTGTGTTTTTCTTTCAACAGATATTTTCAATATGTGCATTTGCAACAACAACAGGATTTTCTAGTTATGTGGAAATAACACTTAATTGTGAAGATAAAGCATTTAAACTTGAATATTCATATCCCTTCAGGTAAGAACAATTACATTCAGTTTGTGCATGACTTAAGAATGGCTATAGTATTTGGATTGTCGCCATTCACCCCAGATAACAACCCAACACTGTCCCTGAAACACAGGGTTTTTTCTTCCCTGAGTAGGTGTAATTGTCAACAAAAAAATAAATTGGTGTGCAGTATTTTTACAAATTAATATTTCAGGGAGATGCCTGTGTAGCTAGTGAGGTTTCTGTACAGCTGTTGAAAACAAAATGGCATAGAAGATGATAATGCTTAATGGGGCATTTGTATTGTCACAGATGTTGGCAGAAAATAGAGGGCCACTTACTGTATCTGGGTTTTTGACTGTAAAATCAGTTTCAATAAATGAATATAAATTTTATATTATTTTGCAGGCTGGATCATGTTCAACGAACGGTTGACTTTTGTAATAAAACTGAATCCTTTCACCTGATTGGAGACTTCTCATCAGATGCTCAGTTTTTCGTTGCCACCGGCGTGCTCTCGTTTTTGTACTGTATTGGCATCATTTTTGTGTACGTTATGTTTGATGCAATGTACCAGAGCAATGGACTACTCCCCTTGGCTGTAAGGCATAATTTATTTTAATTCACTTACACAGCGAACTTTTGTGTATTATTAAAATAAAAATCCTCTTAATTTTTTTTCTTTTCACAGGATTTCTTTTTGACTGTGACATTGGCAGTATTTTGGCTTTCTGGTAGTGCAGCTTGGGCTAATGGCTTGAATGGACTGAAAGGAACAACGCATAACATTATTAATACTAAGCAGTGCCATGAAGTATGTAAAAGTCTTTCATTTGCAAGTGTTTCAGAGCTCACAATCTCCGTGGTAAGTCGTATGATTATATTGTAAATTGTTTATAGTACTGTTAAGCACATTGCATTTCATGTTCCCTGTCTCTATCATTGAAATGGATCAATTAGAAGACTGATTAAAATAAAGTTACAGACAGGTGTGTGGTGACCCATCATTGTTATGCCGTAAAATATGCCTATTACAATGTTACTGCCCAGCATTGTTATGTCGTAAAATATGCCTATTACAATGTTACTAAAGGACTAACTTCCTATGAGTACGTTATATAACTTAGTTTATATCTCAAGCAAGTGAGAAGAAGTCACATAATGCCATTTGAGTTATCTGAATTTTCATTATTTTATCGTGAAACGCGATACAAAATAAATAAAGGCCGTTGATATTCTTTGTTACAGATTCTTGGTTTCTTGAATTTCTTTCTGTGGGCTTCAGATCTGTGGTTCTTATACAAAGAAACACCTTGGTTTAAGTTGAAGCAAAGTACTGATGTCAACTCAGCTGCTTAAACCTTTGTAAGAATTTATTATAACCAACTATTTTTGAGTTGGGGTTGTTTGTTGAAAGTAATATGCCAGTTGATTTCACCAAAAATTTATATTTTGTATTAATAGAAACTTCTGTTTTATTAACTCTTAGTTCTGAAGTAGTTACCTAATTATAGAAGGTAGAGAGTTCGGATTACCGTGACCTCTTATTTATGTTTAACATAGTAAAGTACTTTTTTTTTTAATTTGGTTTTGTATGGTGGAGTATTGTTTTATAAATCTTTTTTGGCTAAGTGCCTCCTGTCATCACATGATTCAGTTCTGTCATTAGCCACCTAATATTTAGTATTCTTTACACGTATTGAACACAAATGTACGAAGTTCTAGTTATGAATGTATAAGTAGTAGGATATGATAATCACTAAAATGTCTTACCTACATAATTGAACCATCACCACGAATATTTCATTTTAAAACTGCTTCCTTCTGATTAATATCTTTGTTTGGCCTTTGCAGTTGTTTTAGTATAATGCTCGGTTGCTAAATAAATGTTCTTCCAGTGGCATATTCATGTACCTTACTGAATTCGAAGAAATATGTTGCTGTTGGCATTTAGAATCAAGAACTAAAAATCGTTCTTATACTTTTGTTGTCTCTGAATCTGAGAGAGGAACATAGATTGCAGGTGTTGTTGGGAATACTTGAGCCTGAGAGAGAAGACGACAGGATCTGGAGAAAACTATATAATGACGAACTTAAAAATTTGTACTCCTCCCCCAGTATTGTCAGGGTGATTAAGTCAAGAAGGATGAGATGGGCGGAACATGTATCGTGCATGGATGGGAAAAGAGATGTGCACCCGGTATTGGTCGGGAAGCCTGAGGGGAAGAGACCGCTGGGGAGACCTAGATATAGATGGGAGGATAATATGAAGCAGGATCTGGGAGATAGGAGTTGAAGGAGACTGGATTTTGTTGGCCCAGGACAGGGTCCGGTGGAAGGCTCTGGTTAATTCGGTGATGAACCTTCTAGTTCGGTAAACCATCTAGTTGGTAGTTATAATTTTGTTGTTTATAATTATTTTGAATTGAATATCATATAAAATTGTGAAGATATCACCACCAAAGGTGGTGGTGTAAAATTTCAAGTAGCTATACTGTATGAGACAAAACCTGGTTGTGCTTGATTGCTGTTTTCAGTCTGGAAATTGACATATCTTATGTTCCTATATCTTACACTAGTATTATTATTACATGTAATATACTAGTAAATTTGACTTTGCTTTTATACCGAGAAGAAGTAAATTATTACCCACTCAAGATATTAGATAAGAAGTATGTAAGTTGCATTACCTTAGCCGAGAAGAACCTGCCCTCAGTGTCTTCCTTGTTCGGAGTATTCTGAGCTGTAAAATGTTTCATGTACCACAGAAATTTCAGAGACCTTGATTCTGCAGTCTGATTCAAATTTAGCAATAGGAAGTAACGAAAAAGAAGTCCAGGTTAATCTTTTTTCTTCTGTATTACTCCATTGCTTGTATTTTTTGAAATAAAGTGCAATGGAAGTGGGATCATACAGTCTATATTGCAGGGATAATGCAACTTTGTTGTAAAGTATTTAATTTACTGGGTGTTACAAATCTTATTCCATTTAGTAAGAAAAAAGGATTCTGAATATCCATTTCAAATACGTGATTTCCTTGCATGTCATTGAACTGACGCATGTAATTTAACGTGTAAGTATATCACACTAATATTTGCATTTTTTCTAACAAAATAAAATTAAAATTCCTGTCATTTCATTTCAAAGTTATGTCTGTTGTGAACATGTGTGCTAGGCACTGAGAGTAGCATTTTCTACAAACATTTGTCTAAATGACTGCGAAGACATTGGCTATAGTGCTTTGTTGTAGAAAGCATTCTTTTGCATTATATGAGCTGCTGTCATTTTTAGTATTAATGTTAAAAAGTACTTTGGTCATTTAAAATTAAGCAGCGTTCTAGACAGTTCTTGTAATGTTAGAATTGTGTTTTAGCAGTTGGTTACTTAATTTTAGAAACGTGTGTCACCTTAAGTGATGCCGAGAATATTTGTGATTAATGATTCACAATAATTTAGAGTTGGAAATATCTTGTCTGGAGCGATAAATATGTCGATATTTATATTTCATCGATACTTGTAAATAACGAAATAGTGATGTAAGTATTCAGAATCTAGTAATACAGTCACAATATTGTGTGTCACCCCCCCCCCCCCCCCCCACCCAAAAAATCGCCATGCTGGGCACAAGTCTACGCCTGATACCAATCTCTGTGTTATAAATATTTCATATCATCATTCCATTAAATCAGGTTGCAGACTAAGATTTCTTGGACTAAATGAAATGTGTATTTTTAATAATCCTACATTAGTTGCTGAAGTCATCACTTTGTAATACATGACTGCAGACAAATAATGACATAGCTGTGTCGCTGCAACATTAGTCCATGTACAAGGGTGTTATGTATTTTGCAGTTTGTCTGTGAACAGTATTCTTCTTGCTATGTGCCAGGAACTGATGAATAATCCATTTATTTGGCATTAAGAATGGAAACACTTTTCAGCGCTGTTCATACCCATAACACTGAATTGAAAAAGAGTCGGCAGCATTTTTTTCATTTAAGCCTTATAATGACTTCGGATAAGAAGTATGGATTATATTTAGTAATAGTAATTTAAAGTGTAAGGCAATATTTTTCAAATAATTCTTGTAGTCTTTTTAGAACTCGAGATATAAAGTAATACATTTGCAAGGCCACAATGGTGACATTGCGGTTGATAATATAAATGCATAGATATCTGTTTTATTAACACTGAACAGCTGTATTTGAACTAGGCATAAAGTAATATTACTTAAGATGTCATGTTAATTTAGTGTATTGTAAATACATATTCAGGTAAAATGTAAAAAAAATGTTTTTATGGGTTTTAACTCTTTAGGGCAGGGGTTCTCACCCTTTTTTGCTGGCGTACCACTAATTCTAATTTAACACATTAAATGTACCACTAACCAAATGCGTTGAGGGAAAACTTATTTATGTTAATATTACCTATTAATTTTCTTATTTAGTTCGTGTACTGCCAGTGGTACGCGTACCATAGGTTGAGAAACGCTGCTTTAGGGGACAAGTCCTATCTGAATAATATTTATAGTTTGGTTCCTGTCTCCAAGAAAACATGCCATATCACAGTTACAAAGTTTAATCTTTTAATGATGAGTACAAAAAGTTTTTCTGTCTGTTCTAAGAAATGGGTGAACCCATAAAGTTGATGTGTAGGCAACAGACCAAATTGCTGAACATTCAAAACTAGGGGTACATAGTTACTGCCATCTTCTAAAGGGTTGAACTTTATATTTGTGTAAAGCACAAATGTAGTTTCCATCCAGTTTTACACAAGTTTGGAGCACAAATTAATATTACATTTATTTATTGTAATGCTGTCATCAGGACTTGAAAGCTCAGTAAGACCTGACATTCGGAAATACTTGACGAATTCATCATGATACATATTTTGTTTGTCACTAACAATTTACGTATATGTGAACTCAAAATTTTTGTGTTCAAGTCCATTGGAGTAAATTATCCTAATGTGATTTCTGTTGTATTTAGAGGCTGCTAACATGCCACAATGATGTCACAGCATTGCCTTTGTTAGAATAAGCAAAATAAATTCAATCAGGTGAAAGTTAATGAATGTGATCACATTTCTTTTCAATCTCAGGTTCACATGAAAATTCATAAAGGAAGGCAAACACATTTTGAGATAAATCTTTATTATATCATATTAAATTCTGCTTAATTGTAATATTATATCTCATACAGCAATGTCAGGCACAGAAAATTATCGGTAGTTTTACAAGAAATAAAAACCGTACAGTCATTCCTTATACTGCACAATCTCTAATACTAGTTTCAATTTCTTCAACTTTTCTCTTAATGTCCCTTAACTCTCGTTCAAGTTGTTGTGACTGTGTCCTTGTTTCTCTGGCTGCTAAGAAAAGGTCATTATTTGTAGGATAAGACGCCTGAGGAGACACCTGTTTGCGGAAAAATTTCTTAACATTTTTCTCTATATCTTGTAGGCGTCCTCTTAAAATTTTTATATCACTGCAGAAACCTTCTGCTTCCAACTTCCTGCGACGATCTAGGTCATTGTACTTCTTTTTCAAGTATGTCACTTGTCCTGCCAATTTCTGTACTTGTTCCTGTAATGTGAAGAAATGCTTTTAAGTGTCTGGTATAATTTTTAATCACTCTCATGTCAGTTAAACCCTGATGTGCATTATCTCCATCAGTTCATTTGCCACATTTTCTTTATGAAAATGCTACTTTCAATTTTCCCCAGCACTTCTGACATTTTGAAACCTCAATCTGCTGACTTAATCCAAGTCGTCTTCAGATTACATCAAGTACGATGGAGATAATATTTATTTCATTTTGAATCTAATACCCCATTACCATGTGATTAACTACGATACAAATAACTTCTTACCCGGAACATTTTCTTGCTGATGTCCAATTGTTCTCTAAGCTTTGCAGCCTCTTCATTTAACTGTATATATTGTTCTTGATACATGGAAACTAAATTGTCTCGTTCCTTCAGTTGATCCTGCGCATAGAGAAGAATCTTTATTCATTAAAATTGTTAGTAAGAAGTTTCACAATGAATTTATCTTGAAAACAAAAACGGAATAAAACCTTTAAATTGCAAACCTTTCGGACACTGCTGTTAATAAGTTCATCATATTTAGACTAAATTCCGTCTTTGTATGGTGCCTGGCTAATTTCTGTGCTAGTAACTGGTTTTAATTCAAACTCAGCCTACCATTTTAAGTCCAGCAGTTAACTAAACATTTGAAGGTGAATTTTATAACAGTTTGATATATCCTGAGTAAAAAATTCATAAAGTTGTACAGCAGAAGTGCAACATGATGCTCTCTTTTGAAGATTACCATTCCGAGATGAAATGAATGGGATAATTCTTTTATGTAACGTGCACTTTTCTTTTACTTATTTATGCTTTAACAGTCAGTCAACAGGTCACATTACACAGAGTAGAATTGTGTGTTTATTAGCAAACGTTCATTCCATTGTACAAGCCTCATTACTACACCATCACGAAACAATCTTAAATATCCCATTTCTGACATAAGTGAAAAAAAATTTACATTTTCCTAAGATTTCATACTTTTACATAAAGAAGAGGAACTTTTTAACCCGGATTTCCTGAAAACCCTTTGGGCTGAACTGTTAACTCTTGCTGGCCTTATAGATTGCCTTACACAGCTTATTTATGAATATTTCTAGTGGTCTACATGACAGTTGAGGAGCAACAAGACACTTTGTACATGTAGATCGAAATCGCCCAACATAGTGCTTGCAGGTAAAAACATCTGGTGTACATTACACAATGCATGTATATTAATGTAACTGCAAATATTATTTCACCTTTAAATGATCAACCTGTGCACAAAGTTGTTGACTGGATTTCAGTTTCAGACCATTGCCACTTTCTGATGCAGAAGGATAAAACTCTCCTATTATCTCTTGGCATAATTCCAAATTCTGTAATAGTCTATTCTTTTCAGTAATCCAGTTGAGTTCGTTAATACCACTGTCTTTTTTAACTTTAACCAGCTCTTTTGTAACATCACACAACTGATCTTGGGTATCTTTTAATCTGAAAGTAACAACAAAAAAGTTCCATCTACTGTCAGCATTAACACACGTTCAATTTCTTGAATGCGGCATCATATACTGTAATTAATACCAGGAAGAATATTCAGAGTGTTACAATTCAACACAACAATATTCTCTGGATCAACTAATAAGACACAAAATACTGTTATTCATTAACAATATACATAATTAAAGAATGCACGAAACCAAATACATAAAATATTTTTACATTAAATGGAATTAAGGATTAATGAATAAGAATGTTTCACGATGACTCTATACTTTTAAACAAATGGAGTCACCATCCTGTAGCCACAGATGTGGCTACATGTACCTGTTGGAGGCATGCAGTATTCAAATGAGCTCCAAGAGTTCATTTTCCAGAACTTTATCAATTTTCTGCAGCATACATAGTTTTATGCCCATCTTTTTGTCAAGATTTTATACAGCTAGGAACTATGAGAAGACTTGAAATACTGGCAACGGACACAGAAGAATACATTTAATTCATGTTATTTCATGCATCCAATATCAATGCAAATTACTCCCAGAAATAAATAAAGAAGACTGGAAACTGCAGTATTTTGAAGGCGGTGACAGTAAACTGCTAGGATGCCATTTCAGCAGAGAGATGTGCTGTATTACTGATAATTTCCTGTGTACAGTTTATGAAGTATGAAGAACAGGAGAGGATAAAAGTACTGCCATTTGCAAAATCAAAGTAAATTAACAGGAAAGTACAGGCATAACACGCGTACTATTGCCATCTCATTAGAATTTGCCATTTTGGGTGCAATTCCATATAACCTTGACTACATTATTGTTAATATTTTGGTGTCTTATATTCAATCATTACACTGTATGTTACTTCAACAAGTGTCAATTAGGTAACTTAACCTTTCAGAAAGAACAGAAACTTGGTCCCCAAGTCTCTTTTGTTCCACACTTCTTTCCTTCCAACTAATTTCTCTGTCTTTTAAGAGCGAGAGCACTTGATTCCGATGAATCTTAAAACGTTCTTCCAACTGAGCAGAGAGGGCGGTGGCCTCTTCACAGCCTCCTTTTGGATCAAGATGACCACTGACACCAGCTAAATTGTTACTTGTACCTTGTTTTAATCTGCCTGCAAAACATCAAAGTCCTCTTGAATTGTTTTATAACGTCTCTCACCGAGATTACGGAACCAACATATCTGAGCTCAAATGAGAGCCAACAAGTGGAAATGCCCACTGCCTTACATATATCAGAGGCAAATAAGGAACTTACCATTCATATCTCTTACATTGTGATTAAATTGCGATCGTTCTACCCGAGGTACAATTCTGTGCTGAGGAAGAGATGAGAGATATAATACATCATGTTCAGTCATACGATTCAGTGATAACAGGAATGCAATTTTTTTGTGATCCTCTGCCGCACGTATCTGTAGTGCAATGAAATAAAATCTCTTGGTAAAATTATTACTGGAAGCAAATCAACAAAACTTTTCCTATATGTGAAACCACAAAATATTCGTCATAATAAATATACCTGCAACCTATCATTTTCACTGTATAAACGCAGGACTTGTTCACGTTCCTGCTGCATATAAACTTGAAGGTCACTGACTGTTTTCTGCAATTTGGATACTTCAGAATTACGACGTTCTAAATCTTTCTGTGATTGGAAATTTAAATTGCTTATAGATTGGCATCTGCAAATGTAAATAAAACAAATTAAATATGGTCATCATAATACATTTGTGTTCCACCATATTCTACCTCTCATTGCCAAGTTCCACAAGAGGATTCTGGCACTTGGGGCAGCCTCAGAACTGTGTGCTGCCGAGAGCAAGTACTTATACTTATCAATGTGGGACGACCACTGGGGTGATTTAGTGACAGCATCTCCCAGAACTATTCTGCATACGCTTGCAAATTAAAATCGTCAATGCAAATCATTATCATACTGCAGCTTATACTTGGCTAAATTATCCTCACTAACATCATTCTGTACAGCGATTCCAAACTTCTTATGAAGGCTTGACATTTCCCTTGAAGTGTTTTCCACTGTAACCACATATGGGGCTGTAGTGATGTGAGTCCGAAAAGCCGCAGCTGTGATCAACAAACATGCTCTACATTGTGATTTCTACCATCAGAATCTGATGGGTGTAAAACTGTCACGTGAAAAGGAATACTGCCCATCTGATTATGTTACATAAGAAGCAGTCAGAATCATTACCAACATCAAACTGAATGCCAAGTAATTGAGAGTGTTTCAACAACTATGCTAAGACATGACGGGATCATGACAGCTAGTCTCTCACATCAGACCATTAAAAATGTGCTTTAGTAAATAAAAATGGGCAAACTTAACAGTCATCTACAGTATATTTGGTGTCTGAAGGCATTGGTACATAAACTGACATCACACTTAATAATGGATATGAAAAAACGGAACTTCAGCTCACACACAGAAGTTCAGATATTTAAATACTCTGCAATATTATGTCTGCAGATTTGTTTAGTAATAGACAGTGACTAAGTAAACAGTCCTATGTCAAGTTATATTATATAGCATTCAAATGTAAGCTACAAATTATAGAAAAGGTGTATTTCGAGGAAGTTAAAGCAGATAATTCCAGGCAATGTTCAAATCAGATATATGGCAGAATATGGAAATGGAGTGCCAATTTATATTCTGAAATAAGAACAAGGTGTGGCAAGTTATTCTACTGATGTGTAGTTCTTAAACGAACTGTGTGTTTAACTAACTAATATACATACTGATCTACTTTCTCCATCAGGTCTTGATAATCATTATTCAGTTGCAAAATTTTTTTTCTATAATGCAATAGTAGTTCCTTTGTTGGTGTTAAATGCTCAAGTTGTTCTATTGTTGGAACTTTTGTAGCATCATGTTGATAGGAATCTTGTCCACCCAGTGACTTGTCCACACGGCCAATGTGCCTCACTCCTGGTTCAGAGTTTCTTGTATTTGTGACATCATGATGACTGTTTGGATTCCTTACTGTGGGGAAATTTGGGGCAGAGGACTGCCCTCTACTCAATATCTTGTTACCAGCACACTGGTGGGATACTGTATCAGGTTCTGTCATGTTTTGCTGTCCATCCACATCAATGAATTTCATACTACAACTGGTTTTAGTCTTCATTGGTAGGTTAGTGCCACCTTGAAGCGGTGCATATCCACGCATGTTTGATTTATTTTTCTCACTATAACTTGAACCCCTACCTGCTTCCATTCTGTACAAGACTGCTAGAAAATATGAACAAATTTGAGGTTAATTCTAGGTCATTCCCTGTTCAACATTACAAACAACCTCAACTGAATTTCATTTGTAATTTATTATATTTAATCTGAAACTATGTCGATCAATCTTTACAAATATAAGTTGGCCGGTTTCGCTCTTCATATTTTACCATTAAAGCCTTCACAATACTAACACCATTATTCAAACATTTCAAATCTTGTGGACTTTCGTTGAGAATCAAGGTCCGCCTACGGTCACAGATAATTAAACTATCGTTAAAGAATGCTCAACATGATTGTGTACAATTCTCGTTATTAACTTAACAGACTGGCCAAATTAATTCGAAATACAAGTAATGATAAGAAGCTTGAGTCGTTTGTGTAATATTATAGAGCATAAGGAGTTTCAGTATACATAAATGTGCTGACATAAACAGGTGTGCAAGACGTAGCCGTAACACAGATAATAAAAACTTTTCCTTAAATAGAAGTAAACAATTATTAAGAACGCCACATATAATTTC